ACACAAATGATAAAGAAAGTGAAATAGCCTTATTGCTGATAACGGAGAAGGTCTGAGTAGTCTGCACAGAAGATCAAACCAGCCACAACATTCCCTTAAGTCAAAACCTAATCCAGAGCAAGGCCCTAACTCTTCAATTCTGTGAAGGCTGAGAGAGGTGAGGAAGCTGCAGAAGAAAAGCTGGAACTTAGCAGAAGTTGGTTCATGAGGCTTAAGGAAAGAAGCCATCTCCATAACATAAAAGCATTAGATAAAGCAGCAGGTGCTGATACAGAAGCTGTAACGAGTTATCCAGAAGATCTAGTTCAGGTAATTAATGGAAGCAGCTACACTAAACAACAGATTTTCAGTGTAGACTAGACAGCCTTCTACTGGAAGAAGATGCCACCTAGGACTTTCATAGCTAGAAAAGAGAAGTCAATGCCTGGCTTCAAAGGTTCCGAGGACAGGCTGACTCTCTTATTAGGGGCTGATGAAGCTGGTGACCTGAAGTTGAATGGTGAACGAAGTGCTCATTTGCCATTCTGAAAATCCTTGGGCTCTTAAGAATCACACCAAACCTCCTCTGTCCATGCTCTGTAAGCGGAACAACAAAGCCTAGATGACAGCACATCTGTTTGCAACATGGTTTACTGAATATTTTAAGCCCACTGTTGAGATTACTGTCCAGAAAAAAAAGATTCCTTTTAAAATATTACTGCTCATTGTCAATGCACCTGGTCACCCAAGAGCTCTGATGGAAATGGATGAGATTCATGTTGTTTTCATACCTGCCAACACAGCATCCAATCCACAGCCCACAGAGCAAGGAGTAATTTTGACTTTCGAGTCTTATTATATAAGGAATATACCTAACAAGGCTATGGCTGCCATAGATAGTGATTCCTCTGATGGATCTGAGCAAAGTAAGTGAAAACCTTCTGGGAAGGGTTCACCATTCTAGACGCCATTAAGCAAATTTGTGAGTCATGGGAAGAGGTCAAAATAGCAACATCAACAGGAGTTTGGAAGAAGTTGATTCCAACCCTCATGGATGACTTTGAGGGCTCAAGATTCCAGTGCAGGAAGGAACTGCAGATGTGGTAGAAATAGCAAGAGAACCAGAATCAGAAGTGGAGCCTGAATATGGGACTGAGTGCTGCAACCTCTTGATAAAACTTGAATGGATGAGAAAGAAGCTGCTTCTTATGCATGAGCAAAGAGAGTGGTTTCCTGAGGTGGAAAGTACTCCTGGTGAAGATGCTGTGAAGATTGTTGAAATGACAGCAAAGGATTTAGAATATTACCTAAACTTAGTTGAGGAAGAGCAGTGGGGTTTGAGAGAGTTGACTCCAACTTTGAAAGAAGTTCTGTGGGCAAAATGCTATCATACAACATCACATGCTA